CTGGCTCCCAGGCCAGGGCCACTCAAGCTGTTCCCGTGCCCCAGGTGGGTGTGGGGCTGAGCATGGTGGAGCCCCGGATCCGAGAATCACGCATCTCCCTGGAGAGAGCCACGAAAGCCTTGGCGCAGCTGCTTGCGAGGCTGGGTGAGGAGACCCCGAGGCCGGGCCCCGAGTCCTCTGGTCCCCGGCTAAGGTCCGGGAGGCACAGTCCCCGGATGCCCTCTTCTTGGGCCTCCTCTCTGTGGCGTCCTCTTCCTGATCCCGGGGCCAGATGCGAGGCAGGGCAGTGTGCTTGAGCCAGCTCACTTGGAAGAGCCTCTGTGCCCCCGGGGCTCTGGACCAAACCCAGGGGTGCTTATCGTTGAGCTCCATTCCCCAGCCCTTTTATTTTTTATTTGGAGACAGGGCCTCACTAAGCTGCCCAGGCTGGCTTAGAGCTTGCAACCCTCTTGCCTCGACCTCCCAGAGTGCTAAGGTTCTAGGCGTGTACCACGATGCCCAAACCATTGTGCACCATTGTGCACATGTAACAGACACATAAGGGTCACTGCCGTAGCATTTGGGGCCGTGTGGGTCGGCAATGCCGTTACTATGACCAAGTTCCTCAGATGATCAGTGCAGGAGGTAGGGTTTGGGCTCGGGGTGTAGTGCGGAGTAGAGCGCTTGCCCAGCACGCGCCAGGCCCCGGGTTCCCCCCAAGGGAGGAGCAGGAGGCCTGGATGCAGAAAGCCAGGAAGGGCTCGGGTCCTCCTGTCCCCTTCGCGGGCAGCCCAGGCACCCAACTTGGACACCTAATGAGCTCAAGACAAGCCCGAAGTACACAGGGAGACCCTGCCTCAAAACAATAAAAGCGAAACAGCACCCACCTCTCATCCCTGACCCGGGCCCGGCAGCCCCGCTCTTTCCTGTGACTTTGATGACTGGCCCTAGACATATGTCCACCCTGGCTGGCTTATTTCACTAGGCGTAACGTCTTCAAGGCCACCCTGCACCACAGCACACATTTTTAATTATCGCTATGAATGAATAGAAGCCTTCCTAGTTACTCCCTTGCCACTTTGCAAATGAGGAAACTGAGGCACGGGGCTCCTAAGTGGTGTGTCCAGGGCCCCGCAGCCAGTCAGTGGGGACGGGTGGCTCCCACCTGACACCTGACACCCACCCTGCCGGGAATGCCCTACGAGCTTAGGAATGTTGTTTACGTTCATTCATTCACTCGTCAAACCCCTCTTGACCTGGGACATGGGAATCAGCAGCACCAGCTGGCCCCGCCCTGAGAGCCGCAGGCCGCCCGGGCAGGTGGAAGGGTGGCTGGCATGGATTCGTCCTCTCCTCAAAGGCCAGGCAGCTCGGGCTGTTCTGAGCACGGCAAGGCCTCTCCTGACCCTCTGACCCAGCCTGCCCGGCCTGGGAACTTCCGGGGAGCCCTGACGGACCCTGCAGGCCTGACTCCTCCACGCCCCTCACTCCCGCCCGGCCGGGTCTGTCTTTCCATCTGATGTCACACTCAGTGACAAAGTGACCGCGACGTGCCTGGGTTGTGAGCACCTGGGTCACCACTTGTCTGCTGTTCAGGGAGGCAAGAGAGCCCTGCATGCCGGGAGGGGAGCTGACCCGAAGTACAGTAGCTGGGACCAGGTCCCCCACTCGCACCCCGAGCCCCTCCCCACCCCGTCTGCTCCCCAGGCCTCATCCAGGGCCAAAACCGAGGGCCCCCACGCCCCACATCCAGGCAGTGATGCACATGCGCTTTAGGGGCGCATCGACTGTGTCTGAGCTGTCAGGGTCCCAGCCATCCCTGTCCTGGGGGAGCAGGAAACTGGGGCTCTGAGAAGGCTCCCTAAGGCCTCCTGTAAGCAACAATAGTGGCAGCATTGCCAGAGAGGAACAGTGGCCCGGGGACACCTGCAGCACAGCTCCCAAGTCTGCAGTGACCTGATGGGGTGCTGAGCCCTGGGCCTCCGGGTCCCCTCTTTCCCTGGAATTCAGCCTCCTAGAAGCTGAGCCTGGAGTGGGCTTGGGATGGGGCTGAGCAGGTTCCTGAGGCCAGCGGGGGACCCAGCTCCTGCTGAGGCTGCCTGTGCCCCCCGCAGGCTCCCTGGACACCCACGGCGCCCCCACCCACACCCTGAATGAGACCCAGCGTGCCTTGGAAGGCTTGAGGCTTCAGCTGGGCTCCCAGGGGGCCCTGCAGGGGAAACTGAGGCTCCTGGAGCAGGAGTCCGAGCGGCAGGAGTTGCAGATCCAGGGCTTCGACAGCGAGCTTGCTGTGGTGCGCGCTGACAAGCGGAACCTGGAGGCCATTCTGCACAGCCTGCCCGAGCGCTGTTCCGGCCGGCGGTGAGGGCTCGCTGTTTGCCGGGCTGGGGCACAGGGCCACACCTGCACACTCACCCTGGCGTCAGTCACACACCTGTGCACGTATGTGCACACACGTGTTTAAGTCCGGCGGCACACACACACACACGACAGTGTTCCTTGGCCAGCAGGGCAAGGCCGCCCCTGCAGGGACATCACTGTCTTCTGGACCCTTCCCTTCCCTCCCAGGAGCTCGGTTGCCCCTACCCGGCAGCCGGTGGTCTGCTCGGAGGCAGGACCTTGAGGGTCTGAAGGGCCCTGGGGCCCTGTGTTGACAGAAACACCCCTCTGTGCCTTTGCTCACCCTCTTAACCTCTGACGCCACTTCCTGACCCAGCCCTACGGCCCCACCTGCCGAGGAGGCCGCAGGATGAGGAAGCCGGGCCACCATTCCAGTCCCCTTTCCAGTCCGTCCTGCCCTGGGGAATCCTCCTGTGGCCTGGTCTCTGGTCTCCGGGGCCTCTGCCCAGGACTCCCTGGTGTTTCCTCCTGCCCTGTCCCGGGCCCCCTTCCAGCAGGCAGCAGGGCCTTGGCACCCAGACCCCAGGTTCCTCTGCGGGCACCGTCCCTGCCCAGCTCCCCTGTCCGCATCTGGCAAACAGGTGGCAACGTGGGCCCATTCTGCCTGTGAGGAAATAAAGGACCCTTACCGAGTTGGGTGCTGTCTTCCATCCTGCACGCCATGGGCGGCCAGACCCCAGCTGGAGGTGCCCACAGGGCACAGCTTGTAGGGGGCCCCACCAGTAGGTAGAGCAGGCAGTGGGTGATGCCGGTGCCCACACACTGTGGAAGGGAGGGGCAGGAGTGGGTCTGCGGCTGTGCCCACTGTGGGGCTTTTTGGGGTCCTCTGACCACAGGCACCCCTCTCCTCTTGGCAACTCAGCCTGTCGGGGGCTGGGAGTGCTTGAGAGACGGGGTGTAGAGAGGCCCCCGGATGACCTCTGCTTCAGGGTGAAGACACGGAAACAGCAAGCCGACCTCAGAAGTGTCCAGAGGCACATCGAGGAGCAGGGCGGGATGCCAGTGAGGCGGACACAGGGTGGGGAGGCCAAGGGAGCAGCACCCAGGCCAGACAGCAGGCACCTGCCCAGGGTCACAGCGTGGGGGGCTGGCCAGCAGGGTCGCTCTGGAAACCCACCCCGAATGGTGAGATGGTGCAACCACCAGGCCAAAACGGGTCCTGGGAGGCTTCTTGAGGGGAGTAGGAAAGCCTCGCAGATGGCCTGGGGCTGGAGCCCGAGGCTGCTGCCGTGGGCTGCTTCCCTCTTCCTCCTGCTTGGTGGGTCTCTGTGTCTGCCTGTCTGTCTGTCTGTCTCTCTCACTCCCTCCCGTCTGCTGGTGTCTTTCCTCTGTGCTGAGCCATTGATGGAAGAGGAAACCCCAGACCCCTCCAAGGCCCTGGCTTTGCAGGTCTCTGGGCCCCAGTGCATCTCAGACAGCCCAGCCTGAGTCCAGCTTCCCGGGAGAGAAGCCGGGTCAGGTCCCCCACCCTTGTTCCGAGGCTGCGTAATGAGAGGGCCTGTGCTCCGCACCACTAGTGGGGTTCAGGGTTGACGGGATGTGGTGGACACTAGGGGCCAGCTGATGTGGGGGCACAGCGGTCTGTGTGTACGATGCCAAGGGCAGGGTCCGAAGCCCCTGGCCCCAACCCCGTTTCTCACTGACGACTGCTGCTGGCATCCGTCCGAGCTCTGTCCACTCAGCCCCGTCCCAGGGCGAACCTCAGCCTGACAGCTGTGACTCATGGCTTGGATCATGCCTGGTGTATGCAGAACCTCTCTCTGGCCCAGAGGTGGGGCGGCTCACTGTGGGGTGGAATGCGGCAGCTGCTGAGCATCTGGCTAGCAATGCGGCCCCACAGCTGAGCAGCAGAAGGTGGGGCGGCCAGGGCAGTGGGGCACCCGGACCTGGACAGGAAGCGGGCTCTGAGGGCCCTGTGATAAGTCCACACCCTTTCTGGCCTCTGGTGGGGACATCTCCCACTGGCTACGAACAGTGGCCATGTCCCCATCTCATTCTGGGGACCGCCTGGCCACTTCCCTCCCCACGGATAGTCAGCTGCTGCCAGGGAACCCCTTCTAGGGGTCCGGATGGAGACCAGCATGCAGGCAAAGGGGCTGTGGCGGTGCCTTCCTAGTGGCCAGGTGGGCGCAGTCCCGGCCCTGCCTGTGGCCCAACGTAGTTCCTAGGAAAGCCCCTTCCATTCCCCTATCCTAATTTGGACACCAGACTTCCTGATCACCATAGCTACAGGTCCCCACTTCTCTCCCCTGAGCCCTGCTCTTCCTAGAGTTCTTGGCTACTTTACTGTCTAAGTGAGCTTCAGCTCCAGGCTTCAGCATCCTGACTTTTCCCTTCTGTGAAATGGGAACATCTAGTCCTTTCTAGTAGCTGATTTTTTTTTTTTTTTTTGAGAAAGGGTCTCACTATGTGTGGTCCAGGTTGGCCTTCAACTTTCTGGGATCCTCCTGCCTCAGCCTCCCAAGTGCTGGGATTACAGGTGTGTGCCACTAGGCTTGGCTATTTTGTAGCTTTGAGACTCAAATGACTGGCTGACAGGGCCAAGTGCTTGGTGCACAGTGAGTGCCCGGGAAGCAGATTTTTAACAAGATTCGAATTCATCTCTCTGCTTTAAAGCGCTGGTGTGGCCATGGGGCACAGGGACCGAAGCGCCGGCCAGGCTTGGCGAGTGCTCGCTCCCTGCCCTGGGACGTCCGGTGGACTCGCTGAGGTCCAGCCGGGGTGCAGAGGAGGGGTGGCCGCGGAGCTCGCCTGACCTGTTGAGTCCCCGCAGTGCGTGGAGCCACATAATAGCAGCTCTGCTGTCCGCAGCGGCCGGAGGCGGGAAGGGCAGGATGGGAGCGGGGCGGGGCGGGGCCGGGA